ACTTTTTTACGGTTTTTGAAAATTACACTTTTAATCTCCTTGTAGCTACGCCGGATTGTTAGAAGAACCGGAAGTCTAGAAGGATTGACAACTTCCGGGTCATCAAGTCAGAAACGATCCTCGGGTGGTTCTTCCTTTTCGTTCCTACTGTGGATTCTGCTCTTTTAAAGTTTCAATTTTTTGCGTCGTTTTTGTGCTTTTTACTGGCTGCTGTTCATGCTTCATCAAATGTCTGCAAGATTTTCTTTGGCTTCTTCTTTTTGCCTCCGTGCCTCACTTTAGGGCTCCTCATTTGCGTCCAAATGTTTTAAATATTTACCACCAGTCGAAAATTGCAAAATTTCTCTTTATCTTCAGCAAATTGGCTACTCGATGTTCGTCAGTGTTTCTTTTCAAATTTGAAACTTTTCGCGTCGTCTTCTATTAGTTTAGTCTTCATTGTTCTTCAATAGTTCTCATACTAGCGTCCATTAAACGATTTCCAGCTCATCTTCAGCATCTTAGCGTTTTGTAGTGCAGTGAAACATTGACTTTTTTACGGTTTTTGAAAATTACACTTTTATTCTCCTTGTAACTACGCCGGATTGTTAGAAGAACCGGAAGTCTAGGAGGATTGGCAACTTCCGGGTCATCAAGTTAGAAACGATCTGCGGGTTCTTCTTTTTCGTTCCTACTGTGGATTCTGCTGTTTAAAAGCTTCAATTTTGTGCGTCGTTGTTGGTGCTTTTGACTGGCTGCTGTTCATGCTTCATCAAATGTCTGCAAGATGTTCTTTGGCTTCTTCTTTTTGCCTCCCTGCTTCACTTTAGGGTTACTCATTTGCGTCCAAATGTTTTAAATATTTACCACCAGTCGAAAATTGTTAAATTTCTCTTTATCTTCAGCACATTGGCTCCTCGATGTTCGTCAGTGCTTCTTTTCAAATTTGAAACTTTTCGCGTCGTCTTCTATTAGTTTAGTCTTCATTGTTCTTCAATAGTTCTCATACTAACGTCTATTAAACGGTTTCCAGCCCATCTTCAGCATCTTAGCGTTTTCTTCATCGAGTCAAAAGCATTCTTATCTCCTTGTTTCGGTGTCTCGCTCTAGCAAAAGGTTTCGGCTGCTGGTTTTTGCGTGCTTCTTTATCTTTGAACGTTGACTTATTCTGTTCTAAAGCAAGCTTTTGCGTTGTGCTGTCAGTTTGGTCTTCAATGTTCTTCATTGCTTCTTCCCATTTTGGTGTTCATTAAACGTCTTTCAGCTTCACCTCAGCATCTTCATCAAGTACTTTGACTGTGTGTCTCCCCTTATAAGTAGGTCTATTAAACTGTATCCAACTTCTCTTCAGCATCTTCATCGGTTTCTCCATTAGCCCAAACCCAATCTGTGCTGGTGTTGCTTCTGTGTCTCGCTTCAAAGACTCCTGGGTGTTTCCTTATCTGTAAACTGTGAATTTTCCGGTTCTAAAGATTCATTAAATTAGATCGTCTATGTTCCATGTAGCACAGTTTCGATCAGGCGAAACTCAACCCTTTTCAGCCCTTAAGCGTTAAAATTGACGCTGTAATTTGGGCCCTCATTTCATCGATTTGGGGCGTCGAGAATTGGGTCAGTTCTTGTGATACCTCGTGCCAACTTCAAGCGGATTAAGTGTGTTGTCTTTAATTACGCCGTTCCTTAGCGTTCATTTTGCAATTTTGCAAACTTGGAAATTAATTGGCCCCATTCAACACCATTCAACGGAAAAGTCATTTCCATTTCTTCCAGCGACGGTTGGCTGAACTATGGGGAGTTTAAGGAGCTGTGCAAAGCCCTTTTTCGGGACGCCAAAGGAAACTCGTACACTGTCAAGGAGAGCTGGCTGAAGGAAATTTTTGAGATTTTCGACCGGAACCTGGATGGGAACATTGATAGGGAGGAGTTCGCTTTTTGCTGGAACAACTGGATTAAAACCGTAAGTCTCTGCCTGGACCGTGCCAGGTTGTGAATGGGACCTTTCCAGATTGTCAAGCCAGTGAGTGCGCTATTGGTGATCGATGTCCAGAACGACTTCATCTGCGGAACTCTGGACATTCGGAACTGCGCTGCCAGACACAATGGGGAGGACGTTGTCCAGCCGATCAACAACCTTCTGGACACTGTGCAGTTTGATGCGATTTTCTACTCATTTGACTGGCATCCGGAGGACCACGTCTCCTTCATTGACAATGTCCAGTAAGGCCTCACGTTGCCCAACTTGGCAATGTGTCTAAGTGTGCCATTTCCGTAGCTTAAGACCATTCCATCCCTCCAGTCCGGTTAAGGCCGAGCAGGCCAGAGTCTACGACACTGTGAGGTTCGATGGTGATCCTCCTCGAACCCAGAAACTCTGGCCGCGGCATTGCGTGCAAAACACCTGGGGCGGCCAGCTGCACAAAGACCTCAAGGTAAACCCACCCGCTGCTTACCTTCACCCCCACCTTAATGGTAAGCTTGCCAGGTGGCGCCCAATGCGGTTAAAATCTACAAGGGCACCAACCCGGAGGTCGACTCCTACTCGGCCTTTTGGGACAACTCGAAGCTGACCGACACGAAAATGGAGGCGCAGCTGAAGCTGCGCAATGTCACTGATGTCTATGTGTGTGGCATCGCCTACGACGTTTGCGTTGGTAAGCTTCGCTCTGGGACGTTGGGGTGAAGCTGACTGGGTTTGTTCAGGGGCAACAGCTGCAGATGCGATTGTGAGCGGCTTCAGAACGATCCTGCTGGACGACTGCTGTCGAGGGGTGGATCTGCTGGACATTGAGAAGACCAAGGAGAACATCCTGGGGAACAATGGGCTGATTGCCACTTCGGAAGAAGTGGAGGGTTTGGTGAAAGGAGTCGATCGGCGGGTGGAGCTCGGCTACAAACTGGCTCTCGATCTCTCCAAGAGGCTTGCCAGCTCCAAACAGACTGTTTAGGGCTTTGCGTTGAAAACACTCGGTATATTTTCACAGATTCCTTCCAGGTTTGCCCAGCTGAGATGATGATTGATAGTCCAGCAGGAGTTGATACGGTCTTAGGAYTASGAAAATAATCGSGAAAAATATACTGGGTGTTKCATGGGTGTGAGGCCACTGTACATTCAAGCAGCTCCATTACTTAACGTTGTACTTATTGGGCGATTAAAGTCGATTTTTCTTTAACGACGTTTGTTTCATTTATCTCTGGTGATCGTTTTTTCACTCAACTGTAACGAACCGAATCGTAATCAATGCTAAGCATGTRCGTGTCTTCGGGCCACTTTCACCTAATTTGGTCCACACCAATTCTGAAGCGCAATATATGGCGTAATCGCATTACGACCGCTTTAATTGCTTGGAAAGGTCCGATTTTGGATGGCAAGTTCAAGACGTTTTCCTTTCAATGTTAACTGGCTTGGGCTGCCTTGACTGTGAGTTTTTGGTTCTAGCGTTTCGCTGGCACGCACGCCTGCCCTCTTCAGAGTCTTRGTCTGTCCCAAAATATTTGGCACTGACGCAATTATTGTTTTTTATTACTTGTCKATTGGTGCGGTGAGCGCGGAAAAACTAGCGGCAGCGGCAACGCTGCCAGCGRGATGACTACTAGGGAATGTTCCGTAATTGAACCGGAATATTCGAGTGTTGCCAAACGGCTATTTGAAGCAAGCGCGACGCGCCCTMGTTAGTGAACGAGCTACTGACCGGTAGGTTAAACAGTATTGCGATTTTTGTCGGTTATACTTCAGGTAGTGTTTATTAAAATGATTCTACCCACAGAGCGAGTTACTGGGGTTTKAGAACCTCARAAACGTTAATCATTATTAACGAATTTATGTTTTTTAATAAATAGTTTCAAGTCGGGGTAGTATGAAACAATATTAAAATTGTTATTATTAACCTCTAGGTGATAGTTCTTGATTACTTTTTGATAAATAATTCGTTCTTATTGCGAAATAGRAGCACTATTTATCAATCTGTAATAGAASACKTGASGAAATTCTGTCTTTTTCAAAGACAAAAATTTTCGAGGCGAAATACCCAACAAAAAGTTTGTAAAAAAATATTAAWATTATTGATTTGACCCCAGTCCAGTGTTGGCAGTGTTKCGCTGCTTTACAGCCAGGGCTTTACAGCCAGGGAAAATGTGAAAATTCGACGGTTTGAGGACGATTTAATTCATTCGTTCTTCGGATCTTGAGTCTCTTCTGAAACTTGAAATTGAAACGGTTTAAAGACGATTTTATGCGAACGTTTTAAAGACTTCACTTCTGTATCAACAAATTCCTTCAGCAGTTGAAAGCAGTTCGGGCACAACTTCTGCATCGACAAATTCCTAGTGAAAAATCGAAAGTTCCACAGTTCAAGAGCGTTTTATCGCGAAAGTTTTAGCAATTTCTTCGGATCTTGAATCCGTCCTAAAATTTCCTCCCATATTCCAGGGAAAGTGGCCTTTAATATCCCAGCAAATGCACTCGATTTGACTGCATTTTCATTGCTCAAGAACAAAAGCCTCGACAAACCACTTAAACAATCGCCAGTCATCTTTTACGTGACTAATTCCCATGCCTGGCAGTCTTGTTACTTTAAAAGCGATTTTTCGATTTTTCCTGTTCACTTCAAGCGCTCTCGACAAGACATTGAAAAAGTGTCGTGAGAGAATCCCCTCAGCTTGAATTCCATTCAATTGTTGCTTGGCTTTTATATGAGCAAACAGCACTAATTACATGTTGAAAACAGTTATGCAAGTGTTAACAAATTCACTGTTTCTCGCCCAATCAGGGAATTTTAATTAATTTCTATTGAAGCGGGCGTGGTTAACTAGGGTGAGAATCTTCCAGATGCAACAAGGTATCAATGTACCTTAGGCCTGGGTAACACTGTGTTGAGTTGTTGCCGCTCTCTGAGTTAACGAGTTATAACTCATCGGTTCATGAGCTGCAAGTGATTTATTAAAGCTTCACGAGACCCGAGACTGGCACTTTCATATCTAAAAAAGGGTAAAAAAACTAAAAAGGTCATCTAGAGTTTTCCAGCAACAAAACTGAGTCCAAAGAAAGTCGACGAGTTTTCTTGTAAAACCGATCACTTATTTTTTTTGCATAAAAGTTTCAGTTTGCCAGTATTTTACAGTAAAACGTTACGAAATCGCGCTATTTATGTTTAGAGTCAGTGTTGTTTAGAAATATTGACCTAAAAGTGAAGAAACTCCAGTTCGAAGAGTTTTCCAAATAAATGATTATAAACTTTCGCTTTTTGAGTATTTTTGGCAAGGCCCAGAAATAATTATTAGAGTTTTGTCCATCATTGGAAGCTGCAAAAAGTTTTCCAAAAATTTTTGCAAAGCTGTTAAGGACGCGAATTTTATCTATTTTTTTCACAGAAAATGCCTAAAGATTGTCAGTATTTTAAATGAAAAATAATGCGATTTTTGCGTAAAAATGATTGCTAAATAGAAAAGTTGTTAAAACTAAAATTACTTTTAGTTTTGTGATCGGTTTTGGAAAAAACCTTTTTTGTTATCGGTTTCGGAGAAAAACGGCAGGAATTTATTTTCGTTTTTATCTCGAATTCGGCGCTGAAAAAAGTTTTTGGCAAATGTTTACAAAGCCATAAATTTATCTTGTAATTTTTCGCGTAAAAGACGTCCAGATCGTCAGTATTTTTAAGTGAAACTCTACAAAATACAGCGTTTTCGAGTAGAAAGTAAAGGAAAGTAAAAAATCAGTCAAAACTGAAAAACCACAGTTTTTTAAACAAACTCTACAGTCTTCAGAGGTATGGAGGTGACAAGATTTCCAAATAATCTGTTGTCAACTTCCGCTTATTCTGTTCATTTTTTGAGAGAAAATTGTTTGATTTCTGTTCCAAATTCGGCACTGGAAGGGGAGTTCAAAACTTTTTACAAAGCGATCACGGATTGAAAATTTATTTTTTATCAGCAGTTTTAAGTGAAAATTTAGAAAATTGAGCATTCCGAAGAAAGAGTAACGGCGAAAACTAGAAAATTCTGAAATTTTGAAGAAATTTTAAAAATATTATTAATAAATGGCCCTTAAAATAAATCTAAAAAAGAGTCATCMACATCTTCCCAGCCTAAGTACCCAGGCCTAAGGTGCCTTCGAAGTGAAACGATTGTTTATGAACATACTGTGCTCAGGAGGSTGAATTCCCGATGAGTGGAACAAGGAAGGCGCTTCAAAGTATGCAGAGGAAAAGGATGCCCGGAACAGGAGGCGGAGCCTGACGCTCACGTCTCTCATCATTTCATCTCATTCCACCACAGAGAGTTTCGGCCATCTGCCTTGTTGCACTCACATGCAGGTAGTCTGCAATTATCTGCCTGACATTCCGATGATTCAATCCGTCGAATGAAATCCTTCAGCAGTCAGGAACCGTGCAATTTGCGCAAGAAAAAAATTATGTCACACATCGAAGCATGTTCGCTTCCGGGATTTCGATGGCGCATTCAAATCACCGTAATTCTAGAAATTCGACCACCAGGAAATGATGGTGAAACTCACGCTGGTCATCGCAACTTTGCTTTTTTTGGGTTGATAGTGAACTTGTGGGGTTGATGAAACACTTTGGTGATTGTAAATGATTAGCATATTTTGTTTTGGAGCGTTCTTGGGATTAAAACCGAGCAGTGAGGCTTAGGGAATTAGCTAATATTAATATAGAAAATGGCAATTTGCCTTTATTATTATAAAAGACAGACAGTACAAAGGCTGGCTGACACCAAATAGTGGCAACTCACGTAACAGTCTGCTAATAACACTGTTCTTTATAGAATGGCCAACTTGCAAAATCATAATGACAGGGCGCGATTTTTTCAAACAGAATTTAGTGCCGCCTTTTTTGCCGGTTTTTTGCAATTATGCCATTCCATCAGGTTGCGAAACATCTGCGAGAGAATAGAGGGGAAGAAACAACAGTTCAATTCCCAACTGGGAATGTTAATTAATCCATGGCAAACGCAACGAGTTTTCATAATTATCTATCTAGTTCAGCAGGTAATTCGAGTTAAAATGTCCGCTGGTTTAGGCGATTTTGGGCGATGCCCATACAAAACTAATGGCTTTGCTTGCGCAACTTTTTACGTCTAGCTAAGTCCAAATTCAGGTCACTTCAACCTGCGCAAAAATGCGCCGATAGTTAAGTCTTAAGATCGATATCGGAATAATAAGCAATCTTTAAGAGACAATACGCGCTCCACTTAGCCGGATGATGGATAGTTTAATGGAACCGATAGGGATCGGCTTTGGCCTTTGATGGGCCCGAGTTTGCTTCCCTTCTTCTGGGACTCTTCCTGTGACGTCTTTAGCTTTACCATTCACAATATTGAGTACAAAAAATCCTTCGAAACTCTCTAATTTTTTCACTTTTTTCCTCGCCAGAATCCCCGAAACAGGGAATTCAGGCGTTGTATTCTACTCGCGCCCCATTTAGAGCTCTAATCGATACACCGAAGTACACGATATTAACTGTCCATTCTAGATGATTTCTTCATAGAAGTGTTATCGAAAATTGGGAGCAATTAGTCGCCACATAAGCCGCGCCCTAATGTTTTTAGAAAGCTTCTTGTTGTGTAATCCTTCGAGTGCGCGATGCTTATCCTTATAATAGGCGTAGATATTCAACACATATCGATACATACTCGGTTGAATCGTTTTACATGTGCAGCCTTAAAAATGATTTATAATCCTGTCGCTTTTGGACCGTCTTTACACTCTTGTTCTAGATAGACGCACATGGGAAAGTCAATTCGCATGTTGTGTAATCGATCGTTGATTTACATTTTTCTTGCGTACACTCACTGATGGTTTGTGTGTCTTTGCGGAGGATTTTATGGAGGAAATTGGAATTTTTCCACTCGCAAACTCACTGCGGGCGTTTTTGCATGAATTTTCTCAAAAGCCGATTAAAACATGGATCGATTGTTTGGCCTTCGTCAATATCACTGCATTATTAAACTTCCATTCTTTGTAGACAGTTACTCTTATTATTAAATCGGCTTTTTGCAATTTACTGTTGTGGAAAGCCGTTATCGAATCGATTGGAAGAAATGTGTGATTTCTTCAAGTTCTCGGAGCACGTGGGCTTCAAAAGAACGCAAATATTTCCAAAATTACAACTAGTAGCGGAATTTTGAGCAGGCCAGTGGAAAGAAGGGTCCAAATTGCTCAAAAATCATTCTTTTGACTTGTCAGCTAAACAGGCCAAGTTTTGTCCATATGAGGCTCAATTGCCGAGTTTTTTGTCCCCCCAAATGGGCTAAATTTCTGTTAAATATGAAGCAAGGATGGAAAAGCGCTATTTGAGTGAAAATAATGCCGTTTGGTGGAGAGTTGGGGGCTTTATCGAGCTTTGAATAATCAGCGCCCTTAAGAATCTGCACAAGTTTCCTTTCTTCCCCCCTAGCTAGTTCAAAGATTTTTTGCGAAACAAACCTACCCACTTTGGCATGGACTTTGTCCATCAGAAACTGTATGTGAAAGGAAAAATTTGGATTTTTTTTGCTTTTTCGGCGAAACATGTTTGGGGCGAACACATTTATTTAAGGATTTTTGTCGATTTTCACATTTTATTTTTATATACAACATCAATATTGGCATCGAGAAAAGGTGCTGATGATGGACTATTCCGCGTATATCAAAGTATCAGGAATATTTTTCCCAGAGTCTCCCATAAACCGTTTTTGAGGTACCTGATGCGAGATACGTTGCTTCCAAAAAACGCTAAACTTCTCCAAAACCGAAAACGAAAGCAAAATTGCGAAAACACGACTGCATTTAGGAGGTAAATTTCTATAAAAAATGTGGCTATAAGTTTTTGTCCAAAATTCATAATAAGCGAGCTACTGGCAATATTGTGTTCTTAAGTCGATTTTTGAAAAGGAAAATCGAAAACTGCTGCATTTCAAACCAGAAAATTTGAGGCAAATTTTGTATATTACTGTGCTGAAAAGCTCGGTTCAACAAATACATTAGAATCGAATGGATTTTGAAGTCAAAATCCATTAAACTGTAATGTTTAGGTTGTTAATCCATTAAACTCTTTAAGCCCTGAAGCCCCTGAAAAACGTGCACGATTTCTCAAAAAATCCCAGCTTTCAGTGGTTTCGAGTTAAGCAGTTAATTACACCACTCGATAATTAATGTAATAATTAACATGAATGGAAATTGGCTAATTGAGATGTGCAGCCCAAACTACAGTAGAAAGGTAATGGTTTTCCTACATGATTTCTATATCTCGCGTTAGAGAAAGTTGCCAAATTGCATAATCCTCATTCAAGAACTGGATAATTACAGAAAAAAATGCCCAACCTTTATTACTAATCGCCCATTTTTTCTGTGCCGAATGGAATTGCGAAGGATATCCGTGTCCTAGTTGGTTCACCCAGAAGTTTCCTTGAAGGTCGACGATTTGTTTTTTTAAGATCGCGATTATTCTTGGTCAATTGTTCTGGTTGAATCACTCAATGTGTAACATAATGGGGCGAAAAACATCGATTTTCGTCAAATTCTCACTTTCAACCAGTGTGTTGCAACAGTCCCAACCCACGCTGATGCACATGCAAGCATTCCATGCATAAATGACCAGCCATTAGAGAATTATGTGGAAGCATTTGCCAATTCAAGCGAGAGAAGTGTGGCAATGCGTTTCAAGTCCGGAAGTATCGATAGTTTTTGCCAAAATGAAAATTTGCCGATTCGTTTTATCTCTTTGCCTGATGGTGTTTTATGGAGGCATTTCACAGTTCCTTTCTCTCTATGGCTGCTCATCTCATTAAGTAGGCGATTGCCTAAGGAATGTTCAGTTTGTTTTCGTCGGTTCAGTTTTCGCTTATGCTTATGTTGATTTGCGTCTTGTTTTGCAAACTTTTTGCTGATTTTTCCTGCTTTGGTTTGTGTAGCAGCTAAGCCCGTTTGTCCTTCCTCAATCCTTACATTGCTGTGAGCTTTGATGTTCGCATCTTTTTCTGAAATTAGTCGCCTTTTCCCGTGCGTCTTGTTCCCCAAACTTTCCCCAGTTTTTGTGCTCTTCTCTGCATCTTTTCTGCTCAATTTTCTATCCTTAATGGAAATAGATTTTATTCAATTAACGTTTAAATTGAATTAAACGATTGAATCTTGAACCGAAACAATTAAACAACAAGCATAAAAATCCTTGAGAAAATTGAGAGTAAGCAACTTTAAAAGCGTGCCCGCCTGTTACATGTTTGTTGGTCGAGATAAGTTCGATGAGGGAAAGTGAAAAATCCCCACTTGCAAAGGGGAACTTCCCCAAGACATACGACCGATTGACCGACAGTACTCAAGTGAAACCGAAGTACTGTTAGTTCTTTGGCGGCCGGTTCTTTGATCGGTATTTCCTCAACGTGCGTGAAGCCGAGCTAGTTTAAAGTGCGCTTTGCGGCTGGATTTTTGGGAATTCTTCACTTGATGTAAGATCGTTATTTTTTGCTGGTTCCGATTTAGGCTTAGGCTGTGGTTGATTTTAAAACATTTAATTTTTCTTCTTCTCCTTGGATTGAAGTCAATCACACGTAAGTAGGCTGCGATGCATCATTACTGCACTTTAGAGATTTGGAATGGAATGCTGTTTAAGTGATTGTTGCGTAAACAAGATGCAATCGCATTGGAAAAATCGTGGTTTGGTGCAGGATTTTTGGGATTTTGTCCTCACTCTTAACAAGAAGTTGACTTTTCATTTCTGCCCTTAGAAGTGTAAAGATCGAGCTTATTTCCTATGAAATAGCCGCCAAGCAACAGGACCCGAAATGTATCAGTTTTGGAAGAATTTGTTTGGAAGTTTTTGATGCAAATTAATCCGCTAGATTCAGTGTTTTCCTTAAGATTGCGCGATCGTTTTTGGTTTTTGGCGCTTTAGAGTTTTTTTCTAAATCCTATTGAATAGCTGGGAACATGTTGGACGATTCACAAAAAGCAACGTTTTTGCCTAATGAGCTTTGTTGAATTGTTCAAGAGAACGCGCATTTGTGCGAAAACGTTCATTTTCTGCACAAAATTTACCAAGTTCGTAAAAATCAGAAATTTGGGATAGTTAATTGAAATTTTCAGAACGTGCAGATTCAAATGTCTTCTATGAACTGTAACAATTTCTAGTTGTTATGTGCTTTGGCTTCGAAGTTATGAATTTTTCAAGAGAACGGGCATTTGGGCGAAAACGCTGATTTTCTGCACAAAACTTTCCAACTTCGTACAAATCTGAAAGTTAAAGGATTTAAATGATATTTTCAGAACGTGCAGACTCAAATGTATTCTCCCTACTGCAAAAATTCCAACTTGCTACTTGCTTTGGCTTCGAACTTATAAATTTTTAAAGAGAACCAGCATTGGGCGAAAACGCCCATTTTCTGCACAAAGTTTTGAAAGTGCGTTAAAATCCGCAAGCCGGTGGATTTAAATGAAATTTGCAGAAAGTGCCGACCAAAACGTCTGCTCTCGATTGTAAAAATTTCAAGTTGCTATGTGCTTTAGCTTCGAAGTTATCAATTTGTTAAGAGAACGCGCATTTGTGCGAAAACGTTAATTTTCTGCACAGAATTTTCCAAGTTCGTAAAAATCAGAAATTCGTGATGTTTAAATGAAATTTTCCGAACGTGCAGATTCAAATGTCTTCTGTGAACTGTAAAAATTTCCAGTTGCTATATGCTTTGGCTTCGAAGTTATAAATTTTTCAAGAGAACGCGTATTTTGGCGAATACCCTCATTTTCTGCATAAAATTTTCCAAGTTGGTAAAAATCAGAATGTTAAAGGATTTTAATGATATTTTGAGAACGTGCAGACTCAAATGTATTCTCTTGACTGCAAAAATTTCAAGTTGCTACTTGTATTCAGTTCGAAGTTATGATTTTTTCAAGTGAACGGCTATTTGGGGAAAACGCTAATTTTCTGCACAAAGTTTTGAAAGTTCGTAAAAATCCGCAAGTCTGTGGATTTAAATGAAATTTTCAGAACGTGCCAACACAAACCTCTGCTCTCGACTGTAAAAATTTAAAGTTTCTAGGTGCTTTGGCTTCGAAGTTGTGAATTTTTCAAGAGAACGGTCATTTGGGCAAAAACGCTAATTTTTTGCACAAAACTTTCCAAGTTCGTAAAAATCAGACAGCTGGGGGATTTAAATTATATTTTCCGAACGTGCAGACTCAAATGTGTTCTCTGGACTGTACAAATTTCAAGTTTGTAGGTGCTTTCGCTTCGTAGTTCTGAATTTGTCAAGAAAACGCGCGTTTGGGCGAAAACGCTGATATTCTGCACAAAACTTTCCAAGTTCGTAAAAATCAGAAAGTGGGGTGATTTAAATTATATTTTCAGAACGTGCCGACACAAACGTCTGCTCTCGACTGTAAAAATTAAAAGTTTCTAGGTGCTTTGGCTTCGAAGTTGTGAATTTTTCAAGAGAACGGTCATTTGGGCAAAAACGCTAATTTTCTGCACAAAACTTGCCAAGTTCGTAAAAATCAGACAGTTGGGGGATTTAAATTAAAATTTCAGGACGTGCAGACTCAAATGTGTTCTCTGGGCTGTAAAAATTTCAAGTTCGTAGGTGCTTTCGCTTCGTAGTTCTGAATTTGTCAAGAAAACGCGCATTTGGGCGAAAACGCTGATTTTCTGCACAAAACTTTCCAAGTTCGTAAAAATCAGAAAGTGGGAGGATTTAAATTATATTTCCAGAACGTGCAGACGCAAATGTGTTCTCTGGACGGTAAAAATGTCAGGTTGCTACTTGCGTTCGGTTCGAAGTTATGAATTTTTCAAGAGATCCCGCATTTGGCTAAATCGCCCATTTTCTGCACAAAGTTTTGAAAGTTCGTAAAAATCCGCAAGTCGGTGGATTCAAATCAAATTTTCAGAAAGTGACGACCCAAACGTCTGCTCTCGACTGTAAATTTTAAGTTGCTATGTTTTTTGACTTTGAAGTTATGAATTTTTCAAGAGAACGCATATTTTGGCGAATACCCTCATTTTCTGCACAAAATTTTCCAAGTTCGTAAAAATCAGAAAGTTAAAGGATTTAACTGATACTTTCAGAACGTGCAGAGTCAAATGTCTTCTCTCGATTGCAAAAATTTTTCAAAAGTTGCGAAGTGCTTTGGCTTCGAAGTTATGAATTTTTCAAGAGGACGCGCATTTGGGATCTTGGGATCAACTAGGGAAGACATAAAGAAAACTTTGTACAGGCTCTTAGCGGGGTTGAGTCTTCAAACCGCCATAAAACCCCAAAATTTCCATTAAATGATCCAATTTTCACACACAATACTTTCGCAGGGACACTAGGGAGGAAATGTCTCCATTTATTCCCCATGTAAATGCCGCTCATTCCCGAAAATGGCCAATTTTTGGCACAATTTCCACGCAGTTTCACTTTTATCGCTCTTTTGGACTTTTGAAAAAGTGCTCTTAGTTTGCTGAAAAATCAAAATTTGAAAACCTCTCTCAAAACTGGGCCAAAGACCAACAAACATCCATAATCTTCCTTACTATTAATTTTATAAAAAAGTTCAATACCACCTTTTTTGCATATTTTGGCATTCGTTGCCCAGTGGAGAAGATTTTCTTAGAATTATCCAACAATTTCTTTAAAATATGAAAACTATGCACCAATTAAGCAAAAAATGAAACCACGAGGAAGCACAGTGCATGGACGCTATGCCCTGGTAATTCTAGAGCGAAATAAGATTTTCAGCCACTAATTAAGAAAAAAGACATTGTTTGATGGCAAAATGCCGCAATTTTGCAGCCTTGGCTAGTGGTAATTCCACGCGACCTCACTTTTAGGCTGACGCTCCTCCGCATGCAATTAAGCCATCCATGGGCGCCCCATTATCATAATCACAGGCCTTTTAAATGACCAACACTCATTGCATAAGGCTGCGGAATGCAATTGCGACCTTGCAATCCGTCGCTTCCACCAATTATCGTCCATTAAACACCATTAAACATGTGGTGATATTTGAAGCACAAGCGATTGTTCCATTATTTGGAAAAAAATCTGAAGAAACAGGGTGAAAGCTGCCGGCTGATGAAAACGTTTCGGTTGTGATTGCAGATGACAGTGATCGTTTAAGCCAGCATGAAGATCTCGAGCGCTCGTTTCCTGCAAGCTCTTTGTTTGGTGATCGTAGCAGTGAATGCAGATGTTCATGACCCTCAGTCGTGGCAGCCGCTCTTGCATAGCGATTTCTTCCATCAGCCCTCAAAACCCGCCTATGGAGGTGGAGGATTCGGACTCTTAACTGGAGGGTGAGTAGCAGATTTAAGCAGTTTGTTGAGCGTTGAGTGGCGGAAATCGTCAAGGCTTTCACGCAAAAATAACCAATTGAGAAAAGTTTGCGGGTTTTCTGGTTTGGACAACAAACTGCTAATAAGCTCCCGGGTTTACAATGGAGCTAAAACTAAATTATTTGGCGCTTTCGGCCAGTTTGTTAATTAGCAGATCCCGCATGATTTGCAAATTCCCCAACGCCCATTAAATATCATTCGTTTGAAATTAAATCAGCCGACAGCTGCATAGAGGCCAATAAATGACTGTTTTGGCCAAAGCTCTTCACTTAATCAGCCAGACTAATTAGCAATCCTCAAATCGAACCATATGCTGACATTAATTGGCATCTTTCTCCTGCTAGCTTGGAAAGTACCAAAGTCAAAAAACCCAGTTTTATCAAAGTGTCTGCAACGATATTGAAAAACAACAAATGGAAAATTGACTTCAATTTGACTTGCACAAAAACTGTTAAATTTTGGAAAATTTATGTCCCGAATGTTTTATGTATGTATGTGTAAAAAATCGCCCGTACTTTACCATTAAAAATGAAAAATGAATACCATAATAACAGCGTTTTTGGAAGTTTCTTCGAAAACCGTCCATGAAACTCCCTGTGCAAAAATCGCCATTGTTCAACGTGGGACAAAGTGATTATTTTGTCAAAAGCCACTCACTTAACGATCCAGATTAATTAATAATCCTCAAGTTGAACCAAACGCTTAGAAATGCCCAAGCAAATTTCCCATCGCTTTCAGATATCCTGCAGAGGAACCTTTGGAGGAACCAAACGACCAATGCAGCGTCTACAAAGTGGGATTCACACAGGATTTGTACTTCCAGTACATCCAATACAAAGCAGACATTCCAGATTTGAAGCAGTTTACCATTTGCTATTGGGCCAAATCGACCAATCATTCGAACGATCATCCCATCTTCTCCTATGCTGGTAAGAAACACTGGGCTCATACTCCTACAAGGGCTGCCTGATTGTTTTAAACTATGATAAATTTTCAATGTAGTCGCATCAATTCCTGATAATTTTGCCCTTTGTAAAATTGAGTGTCCCTTCTTGAAAACTCTGAAATTTAAAAGACGAGGCAAGCAGCAACTTGAAGCTTTCGCCGTCAATTGCGACCACTTTGCGCTTAAAATTCCGATATTTGCAATAAAATCGCGTTGAATCCTGATTTTTCGCCATTTGTAAATGTAAAGTCTCGCAATCAATATAAATTTTTTAAGTTTCAAGCAACTTTCAAAGGATGACAAATTGTGACTTAAAATGTTCATTTTATACCCAAACATCTAATACTCAAAAAACAAATTTTAGCATAAAATTTTGCGTTTTTTGAAAAATTAATTGTTCAACACCGATGTTCGATTTCTTAATCTTTCAATCAAATCAATGAAAGTGAAAATTCCTGTATTATGCAAATGGTGCAAAGTAATCTACAGCTGTTGATTGAAGAATGGCTAATGCGACTTTGGGTGGCGCTTTCTTCTGTGGAATGTCCCGAGATAACGCTGCTTGGTCTGAAGATGCAAGCCTAACGAAACGTCCGTACCAGAATAACATGCAAGTTTTGGGGGTGTTATTTTGTCGGCTTATGCCCGAAAATGTCCCTTGTGGTCATTTCAGGTCAGTTGCCTTTCGCAATACACTTTTCCTAACAAATCCGGCAATTAGCAAGTGTGCGCTTACTCTTATTGCCATTTGATCAATACCGGTTTGGTCGGAACTAGACCTAACAGGCAATTTATGCAACATTAATTAGTCTTTGATGGAAAAATCAGTCAACTGTAAGTGAGTTAGAAGGAAATCGGGCCATTAGGCGCACTAACTTGACCGGAGGAACTTCCGGCAATCGAAGAGGGACACTTTCAGTCAACATTCCGGCTATTTGGGCCAAGGATCAATATTGCATGAACAGAATTTTAGCTGAACTGCTCCAAATTTGATGGGACTTTGTTCCTGATCCGACAAGTTCTCATTAGTGTTGAACATAAGAGACTTTGCAGAAGGTTGGACGATGTTAAGATCTTTGGCAAACTGCACTGAACTGTCGTCTCCTAGAGCCAAATGGACTACTTCCCTAACTTTACTATCCAACTAAACTTCTGTTGCAGTTGATGGCCAGCCAAAGGCCATCTACGCCTGGATATCCAACACGGACCGTTCCAGCTACTTCAGCCTGAACATAGATGGCCACACCTTCTATCGCCTCAACTACCCATTGAGACTCAACAAATGGTACCACACGTGCCAGAGCTGGAACGGAAAGACCGGGGAATGGCAGATTTGGGTCAATGCTGAGCGTGTTGGGCGAGGCTTCCACAACAGGGTAATTCGTTTCCCTAGCGCCCCACTGGATCCCCTATCAATTCCCTACTGTCCTTCTACAGAAGCCATTACACAGTCCTATTAATTTCCATTCAAATGTGATTCTTTTTATCACTAATCCAATGGTGACATGCTTGCAGCTGGTGGGTCATGTGATCCCATCTGGAGGCATTGCCATTACAGGGCAGGCGCAGAGTCAACTAGGGGGCGGGTTCCAAGAGGGCTACGAGGCGCCTAAAGGTACAGCAGTCTTCAGCCCCTTCGAGCCAAATAACCGTGGTTTTTCCGCAGGTTCCGGAGGAATGTTGGGCGAGATCACAATGGTGCAGCTGTACAACGTGGCGCTAACGGCGGGCAAAGCCCACAAAGACCACAAGCACCATCACGCCCACCAATACGACCACAACGGCAACATGATCACCACCCCAGCGCCCACTACGACGGTTCGCTCGCCTTTGCCCGCCCACCCGCTGCTGACAGGCGGGCAGCTGAACAACCGCGGCACCAGAATCAACTTCGCCACTGGGCAGCAGCCGCAGCTGATCCAGGGGCAGGAGTATAACGTGGGGTACGCCAATGGGCAGCTGATAGGGGGCGTTGTCACCCAGCAGCTGACCAAGGGGGCGCAGTTTGCGCAGTTCCTGCAACCGCAGCCTCAGCAGGTCTTCTCGCAGCAGCCGCTGCTGCCCCAGGGGGCTGGCAGCTTTGGCACCCAGGCGGTGGGCTTCGCCTCCAATCAAAATCCTGCCAATGTCCAGTTCGTGGGCGCATATGGAGGCCACGCCTTGTTCAAGCGACACAACCAGGCCCAGCAAGCTGAGGAAGCGGACTTGGACAGTCCAAAGTTCGGGGACAAACTGTCCAAGAAAGTCGATAGTTTGAAGGAGAAAAAGCACTCGAAGCGAGGGCTGTTTGTTGCGGGTGGGACCTTGTATGACGACGGCCTGCTTGGTGGGCCGGCAGCAGGAAGTCCCACCTACCAGCAAAGCCTCCAGTATGGACTGGCGGGGATCGGCAACAATGCGCCCATACTGAAGCTGCAGAAGGAGAGCGATGAACGGGAACCGGCCGAAGCTGAAGTGAAGGCCGTGATGAACATCTGCACGGGTTGCGATCCGGAGCCTTTCGATAAGGCGTTGGTGTTCGGTTGGAGAACAGTTGCAAAAAAATTGTTTTCTGGCGCTTTTTACACGCCGGCAGTACCACAGTGCAAGGTGTTCTAAGAGGTGAGGCGCAAGGGACTTGTACATACGTAGGCAATAGTGTAGCATCGTTTTCATTTGCCATCGCCACCCATTATTAGTCATGTTGGTCATAGTATTTATGTTTTGTGTCATTCGTTGGTTCTTGTAGCGTAGGCCCTGAGTATTATACATGTTTAGGTCAACTGAGTGCAGTTTTGTAGGCAAATCTTCCCCAACATCACCAGACAGTCGGGAGGGTTCTTTGCAAGTTGCCCCAACAAGATTACACAGAAGTTTTAATGCGCATTTGGCAACGTCTGACAACAGAAACTTTTCACACTTGTAGCAGGAAGTTTCCCCTTCAAAATGCGGGCAAAGTTGACTTTCTCGCTTTCCCAGTTGTAGAGAAAAAAATGTTAAGCTGCGGCCTGCAAAATTCACAAAAATGAGACGCGATTTTGAAACACTTAGAGAAGGGCTTTCGTTCTACCAAAAACATGAAAGTTCCTTAATAAAGCAATGTTAAACATCGGCCTGCAACAATCGCCTCAAAATGCGATTTTGAATCGAAATTTTTTTCGATCAATCAACAATCGAAAATTTTCTCCTTTGTAGAAGGGACGTT